AGAGATTCACATATCCACACATGTACATACATCTCTTTTATGTTTTAAAAGAAAATGTATTATGATGTCTATAGAGAGAAAATGATAATTTTTTATGATATTAATACATACTAAACATGTAAAAATTATTGATTCTATTATTCTTGATTTTTTCGTGTATGATACATTGTGGTCATATGTGTACATACATAATTTTGTTATTTATTATTCAAGATAACTTGTCACAAATTTAATTATCTACTAAGTTGATTATTTTTAGGAAATATCACTAGAACGTAAATTTTTACAGCAATCATGTATGTCAATAAGTAGATACGTAATGCATAAATGTAGTTCATTTCAGATGTACAACCCGGGATCGTATTACTCATGGCACATTTAGATTTATACTGTTACTACGTATATATCGTTAATGAGAATAGATAATGCAAGAATAAATATCCGCGAATGTGCGGATAAAGTTCTATCGTCCGTATGGAATCATGATAAAGTAAGCCTTGCGCTATTGCAAGAAAAGGCCAATATAACGACGAAATTGTAAATATGAAAATTCCTGCCTTAAGAAATACAAGACTAGACAAATGTATATTTAAAACTATAAACTAAGTATCAGAATTTTAACGATCTATATAATATCATTAATACAGAACAAAAAAGTTACGATTTATTTTATAACTAAAAGAGATAGGTTTTTCGAAACAAATAGTCAATTTAGTGTAGTAAGATATCTATAAATGACGAAGATTAATATAACAAATCGTAAGTAATCTCTATCGTTAAACAACGCGTTGATTTGTGTACTTTTTATTTTTCTGTAAGTAGATGGAACCGTAAAATTGCGCATTGATAAGTTGCAAATGATCTCTTATCTCCCGTTTCTTTTTATTCTTCGTTTTCAATTTAGTCAATCTATTTCTTAATCTTTCAATAGAAGATTCTTAGAAAGTAATACTTCAGGAAACTTATAAGTCACTACATATATATATATATATATCTTACAGTGATACAAACAATGCTTCCAAGCAACGAAACGATAATTTTTTTGCATGCAGTGGCTCGGTAAATCAATCAGATGATTAACTTTAATATTGTTTTATTTCAAAGTTTGGGCTTTATATAAATAGCGCTCACTTTATATAAAGAATCTATTTGCTTTGTACCTGAAAGCCTCCTGATGAATCAATTTCAGTGTAAAAAAAATATAGAATTACTCAGGAATGAGAGGGTAGATGCAATTTTAATTTATAACTCGAAATAAAAAAATTTCAAAGAAATATATATTATTGTTGAATGAGATTATAGCATAGAAAAAATGTAAACTTTGTTTTATTACATTTATATTCAGCTTTAATGAAACATTTGGAAGAGTACTGAGCCATAAATAAACTGTATTAAAAACAATTTATATGCAATTGCTTTTAGCGCATACGTTCGCTGATCAATTGGGATACTTATCTATTTATAGCTATGCGCTTCAATGATAAGGGTACTAAATAGATTATGCCTCTAGAAGAATAGTCTTAGTTTCACATAGTTTTATCATATTTTTTCCCCATTCGGCTCGCCACTGTCAATTTTTCAAATTGTAATATGATACAATACGCTATATTTTAGAGGAATATTTCGAGATTAATGTATATTCTTCATCAAAGTCGACCGTTCGCACTAGTTTTGAGAGAACGGTATGATCTCTCCGTAACACATTGACATATTAACTAAATAATTATATATATAATTATTTAGTATTATATATGTATATAATATATATGTGTGTATACCTACTTTGTGATATAAACTTCTTCCGAACGGTAACCTTTGAAGAAGACCGTAGGGAATAATAACAAGTGCTGTGAATAGAGGGAAAATACACATGTTAAATCAAATTTAATTCAATTTACATACCGATAGGCAGAGCTGCGGATTAATGCCGGATCTGATTCCAAGCGATTGTACTGTAAATAATTAATGATTCGTATTGCGCAAATCTCTTTGAAAGAGAAACGATCGCGTATTGCATTATAACGTAATATTGTTCGCAAGGTTGCCATGATAAAGCGATATTTCTCATTTTTACGCGTACTGATGAAATGGGGAAAGGGAGACGAGTAGCGCGTAATTCATTTCAAAGGCGATTTATCGATACGCATGTAATCTAATAATTTATACGTAGCTCACATTTATAGACTTTCAACGATACTTAAATACTTTTGTAAGAATTTTTCCCCTACACACATTGTGTTTCCTTTTTAAATAATGTCGCGACATTAGCAATGTCGCCTACGATTGGATTTTTAGCAGCATTTTCTTGATTTCTCTATTATTCTTTTGTCGATTTTAGCCTCACGATTAGCGTTAGTTTTACAACCGTCGTATTGCGTTGCTGTAATTATCACTATTATTAACTGTTATTATTATCGATACTACGAGTTATATTCATAGTCCGTTCTTATTTTAAGACCGTCTTAAATAATATCTTCAGATAATATATGTGACTCTCTAATTGGTTCATGATATTTTAAGACTACACTTAAGATGGTCTTAAATATAAGATCCGACTACGAATATTGTTATTATCATCACTATTCCACTGATAATACAATTGGTATGATAATTTTTACTCTAATAGTACTACATTTTTAATTTTAACCAAAACGCTTTGCTCGGTTCGATCCAATTTTTATCACGCTCAATAAGATTATTGCATGTAACATTCCAGAGCTACAATAAGTGTAAAAGAAACTTTTAAAAAGGGTGTATATCTGTGCGCGCGCGCGTGTGTGTGTGTGTGTAGCAAACTAATGATTGAGCGAGAATCTATAAAGAAAAAACAAGGAAGAACGAAACGGAACGATCGAGTATTCATATATTAGAAATCATAATGCATATATTTAAATGAAAAATTGTTATGTACATATACATGATTATTATAGTAATATAAGCTGCTTATAGACATAATGTATTTTTTGTAGGGACCATAAAATGTAAGCGAAATATATAATGTTATATACGAGTATTAACGAGTGATACAAATAACTAAATAATGATAATTGATTCTGATTTGTGAAAGCAATATGCGATCGATCGCACGACCCAGAAATAGTGAAAAACGAAGTAAAGGAAAGCTCGCGAGAAGAAATGTTATCATTTATGTTTCTCTTGAATGGCTCACATCATTGATGATGATTATTAAGTGAAATAATGTGGCTTTCGTTAAACAATAAAGCGATAAAGACATACGGCGCAAAATATAGTATAATAAATAGATAATAACTGATGATGCGGAGAAACATTAAAAATTTAAATTTATATAATTTTTTCTACTTTAGAACATATGAATCGCAAATTATCTCGAGTCAAGGTATGCCTTAAAAATAGAATGATTAAATAATTAATTCTCTTACAAAGAGACATTGTTCATCCAAAAAAACCGATTATAATTTTATGACACATTAAGTAGGAGTATTGCTAAAAGAAAGGGGGGGAGAGGGGGGATTTTAATAAAAAATTTGAATTGTAATCGCAAGAACTTTGATGACATTGCGGACAAAAAATAATCAATTATTAAATTGTAGTTAATTTTTGTACTATAATCGTCAAAATAATCAAGATTTATATTAAAATGATCGGCGTTGTATTTATTAGTAAGGCTTTCAATTCTTAATAAATTTTTCATTTCTTTGTAAAGATTGATACCTTATACATTTTTAAGAAATTTAAACTATATAAACGAATAAATTATCTGGCTCACAAAATATGAATATAAAAACCGGTAGTTGATTTCGAAGAAAATTGTGACTCTTATAGTCAAACCTTCTGTTTCGACTCGAGGAAATATAGATAATAATCACGACAGATTCACGAAATCGCCTTTTACGAGACCCATATGAGCCTAATTTTTTTGGAAGGCAAACAAACAATGTATTTACAATGAATAAATGTTTTGAAAACTGTTAATTTTAAGTCCAATTATTTTTTTTTTACATATGTCGGCCTTGAGAAATAATACGCGTGCATATGATTATAATATTTTATTATTTTTAGTAAGTCTATCTAGATAAACTTGCATAGTCGCATAAAGGAAATTATCTAATTTGCATTAGTATTTAACTGATAACTCAAGAATCCAATTGCGTTTCTATCATAAAGTTTTTATGCAGCTATGCAAGCTTGTCTGGATAGACCCGAACGGATTTTACAGAAATAGATTTTGGTATTTTGAATGATAGCGACGTGTCATAATTAACATTTCCAAAATATAATTTGCATTATACTGTGCTATATCTTATATTATTCTCTGTCTCTTTCTCTCATACATATTTTTTATATATACATTTTTTCTCTTTATTTTTTATCATATTTACTTTTATTTTTGTTTACTGTATATTCATGTTTATACTCGCTCAATTTTATTAGATATGTTCACGCTTTCATATAAAAATGCATGTACACTTTAGAGGATATAGTCCCAGAGCGTCTAATAAATAACGATTTTTATTCTGATCCTTTCTCTCACTATATTATATTATATTATATTATATTACATATTACATTATATTATATTATATTACGTTATATTATATTATATTATATTATATTACATTATATTTTATTTCATTTTATTTAATTTATCCTCGTGTAACATTTTCTTTAAATTTCTCCGTTAATTGCTTGTTAATTTCCTTATTTTACGTTTTTCACTCTTAAACGTTATTATTTATCTTGTCTGTAGTTCTTAGAAGGCTTGCCTTAGAACAGCAATAAATGCTTTCTCTCTCTCTCTCTTTTTCAATATACAATATAAAGCAATAATGGAATCCGCTGCCCCGTATGGCGCGCAATAACATCATTCGAGTTTCGCGCGCTTCCATAGTTCTCGCTCGGATCGTCCAGTCGCGAGCGACGCGCCGATCGAAGCGCCGTCTCCACCATTTCCGCCATTTCCTAAACGCGTCTCTCAGTCCGTCTGTCCGTCCGTTCCGTCCTTCTCGAACAGTCAGTTCAGTTGTTCACGGGCTTCTCCAGCGTGCAGACGTACGCGAGTGCCGAGTGTTTGGCGTGTTTCCTGTCGCCTACGGAGTCGCGTTTTCGCTAACGAACGCCCTACCGTAGCTTCCATATTCAATGTGTATGGCGATTCAGGTGAGTACTCGTCTTCGTCGCATCGTCCGCGTTAAGCCGTCTCGCCCCGGAGGCCGCGTGTGCGGTAGGAAAAGTCGATGCTGCAGTTCCGCGGCTTGTACGAGGCGTACGCGCCCCCGCTTTGGTCTCTTTACTCGTCGCTACGCGCGCGTGTGTGTATGCGTCCGTATGCGTGCGCGGCGCGGCGCG